TTAAAACAATTAACAAGCATATTAAACTTAATCAAACAAGATTAAGAATAAGAATTATACCTTTGTCGCGTGCTTCTCTCCCAAAGAGCTCTTACTTCATAATCCCGAAAACAAGAGATCTCCGACGGATCGTACCCTCGACCCAACCCTAGCGTCCTAAGTCTTGAAGGTTAGTCAAGACTCGGACAAAATAACTATGAGTTTTACGAATCAAAGGTTTACTCTTACTCAGAGTTGCGTTTTTAATTCCACTCAAGGTTGTTCATTTCCCAATACCCAAGCTTGGTATTTATAAGGAAATGAAACCTTGAACTTCATTCCCCAACCAATGTGGGAGAATGAATAATTTGCTAATTAATTTATTTCTAAAATAAATTAATAATTAAATTCAATCATAATGCAACAAGTGTCAAAGGGAGACAGAAGGTTAGGTGAGGACCATAAAGAGGTGGGGGGACCATTTCCTTGCTCCCCAAGGGTTTCCCAAAGCCTTGGTCCCCACCCTCACAAAACCGCCTCACCCAAAAGGGTTGTTGGGCTACTGCCAGCTAGCAGTGCCAGCCAGCCCAGCGAGCTAGCACCTGGCTGCCGAGCAGCCTCGCATGCTTGGTGCTAGTGCGTGCAAGCGCTGGTGCTGGCCTTCGCATCCCACGCACCACACACATCATCGTTGCACCCCTTCGAACATGCTCGCACACCCAGCATGCGTGTTGCTAGCGAGCCACGCATGCTGGCCCCTTTGCCTCGCCAGCCACACGCACCATCCTTGCAGCATCTCTCGCACATGCACTAGCTACGCACCATGTGCACTAGTTATGCACAGCGTGCATTGGCCTCGCACCATACGCACACGCACGCATCACACAGCAGCCTTGGTGCGTGGTGATGCTGCGCTGTTGTGCGTGGCCTAGCACTATCCTGGTGCCCAGGCCCTCGCACATGCATGGTGCGTTGCTTGGTGCTTCCATGTGAATGCTAGCACACAAGCCAGCACGCATGCTGCGATGGTTTGCTTGGTGCGCCTGGTGCCTGCGATGGCAGCGATGGTTCCTAGGCATCATGCTAGGGCTTTTATAGCACCTAGGCATGATGCTAGGGCTATGATAGGTTTCCATGGCGCGCCTAGACTGCGATGGTGCACCTAGGCTGCGATGGTGCGCCAAGCACACCTAGTGTGCTTAGGCTTGCGCCTAGCCATGCTAAGTGCATGCTAGCCTGAACTAGCCTAGCATCCACATGGCTAGGCCAGTGTGGTCCTAGGGCTATGTTCATACTTGTTGCTTTGTGACTTCGCGACACTCGGTCTCAACGCCCTAGGCTCGATATCCGACGTCTGTATTCGTAAAACTCTGCTGACTCATTAAATCCTTTCGGATTAATTCGTCATCTCGGATCGGTGATTCGATTGGGTTCAACCCGAAGGGTTCAGTTAAGATTAAGCTGTAACGTCAATTGTACATTGATATTACTGATCGGAAGCGGCCTCCACCTAGGCATTCTTGACCTTACTGAAGAATTAGCTCCGTAATAATTCTGAACCCTCTATCGGAAGAATACACTTGTTGGAAGGACACCATTCCTTTCAAGGTTAGGGGTTTGTCCTATTCCTTGTAGGAGTAGAATTAGTTGCCTCCTATGTCTATTAATAGGGGTAGTTTTTGTGGTTTTACATAGGATAGAAAATCAGATTAAATTCAATACAAGTTGTTTAACTTAGAATAAACTTTTCTTTGCTAGTTTTCAATTCAAAGAGTTTTTTTTATAATCAGAATGTTAAATTCTTAGTTCTAGGAGTAGTCTAAGATTTGTTCATCAAAATACTTAGTTTTAGGAGTAGTCTAAGTAGTTTGAGTAGTCTTGAATTCATTCGAGGAGTGGTCAAATTATAAGTCATATCCGGTTGGTTGTTCTTAATTTGTTCGATTTTCTTAGGGAATTAAGAAGGATTGTGTTACGTGTGTGATTTTAGATTCTTTATTAACTTAAAGGAGTTTAAATCCACATCAAATTGGTATTAGATTTCAGGGGTTTTTTTATCGTTTTATTGCTCGTTCAAGTCGCACTTGTTCTTAGAGGATCAGTTTGTTCAGTCAACTTCAGAAGGCTCGTTATCCTTCGTTATAAGGTCTTTTCAGGTGATTATTTTATTGAATTTGGGTGAAATTAAGTCTTCTTTTTTCCTACAAAATTTTAGAACTTTTCGATTCATTTTCTATTCAACTAGACTGTTTCCCGCAACTATGTCAGTTTTGGTCCGATTTAATACATCTTGCTCTTTGTGTGCAACTTTGTTCCAAGTCTGTTAGGTCTGTTTGTTGCATATAATTATGGAGGAAGCTATTACAAAACTTACGGATGAATTTGCAAGGTTCAAGATAATATGGATGAACGTTATCATGCTTTTCACAATTATTGCTTGATAAGAAGAAAAAACATGATGTTAGTGATAGTGATTCTTCTGGTAGTGATGATGATAATAATAATAAACATAAGATCTATAATAGAGGTATCAAGCTTAATGATTTTACGGGTCTAGGAAGCCCCGAAGTTTTTCTTGAGTAGGCAAGATAATTGGACAAAATTTCAGATTATAAGGGTTTTGATGATACTAAATGTTTCAAAATTGCTAATATTCCACTCACAAAGAATGCGGGACTTTGGTTCGGTAATTTAAAGGCTCGACGTGCTAGAGCGGGGAACGATAAAATCAAGACATGGACAGTTTTGAAGAAGAAGATGTGTTGATAAGGAATTAAAAGAGCTTAGGAGAAGAAGCAAAAGGATTCTAGCGCGCCACCGGAAAGAGTGTGCAGCCTGAGACCACCGCGGGCGCTTCAGCCTAAGGAGCATTTTGGCCAACCCGCTCAAGATCATTGGTTCCCATAGATCACGAGTTGGAGCGTTCTTTAACTTTGCTAAGGAAAGAGGCTAGAGCAAGGAGTAAGACCTCTCATACTACTCTGCCTTCATCATCATCAAGTGAAGAAGAAGGTAGCCCTAGTTCTTCCTCAAGTTTGGAGATCAACCCTTTCTCCTCTTTTGATTTAGAGAATGTGCAACACCACAACAAGGGAGACCTTAGAGTCCTAAAGCAACTAGGAACTCCCGAGGCCTATGCACCTCAATGTGGGATCTTAGCCCCTACCTACTCAGGCAAATAACTTTGAGATCAAGCCTACTTTCATTGCCATGATCGAGAAGAGGCAATTTTTGGGCGGGAAATTTGAGAACCCACATGAGCATCTCGAGGAATTTCTCATGTATTGTGATACCATTAAGGCAAATGGTGTTTCTCAAGAGTACATTTGCCTTAAGATGTTTCCCTTTTCTCTCACGGGTATGGTCGATCATTGGCTTAAAAAGGATGTCCCTCCCGGTTCTCTCACAACATGGAATGAAGTTACCATCACTTTCTTGGGACGGTTCTACAATCACAAGAAGTCCGTCGAGGCTCGTTCTAAAATTCAAGGGTTCCGTGAAGAGGTGGAGAATCTTTGTGTGAAGATTGAGAGAGGTATAAGGAACTTCAAAGACAATACCCCCATCATGGTATTACTAACTACCAAGTGCTTCAAACCTTTTATGGTGGACTTTCTCCTCAAAGAAAAATAAGTTTGGATGCCGGTGCGGGTGGTCCCATAATGAAAAAAAGAGAGGAAGAGGTGGAACACATCATAGAGGACGTGGTTCATAACTATGGAGATTGGTATGAAGGAGAGCGTGAAGCTACCTTAATTAAGGGAACGGTTCATTCATTGGACCAAGCTAATGCCATCACTAATCTTTCCAATCAAATGACCAAGATGGCAAAGAAAATGGAAGAGCTCATGAATGTACAATCTCAAAATGCTTCCTCCCCTTCTACCAAGGGAGGAAATGGTATAAATACTCCTTCCCCTTATTCTTATAATACAATGCCCTTGGGATGTTTATTTTTTGATAATTGTGGTACATATGATCATGATACCTCTCAATGTGTGTATTCTTGTGAAACCCTACCCCCTCCCCAGGAATATGTTGATAATGTGGAAGATATCAATGCTATGAATTTTGCCCCACGTATGGGAAACATGGGAATGAGGTTTAATATGAACCAAAGTTGGAGTTGGAATCAAGGAGGTGGTGAATCATAACCAAAAGTCGAGAAGAGGATTTTAGTTTTGGTTATGATTCCCAAATCCTCGGGAATCATAACCAAAACTTTGGAAGGTTTAACTAAAGAGGATTTGGGAATCATAACCAACAACCTTACCCCAACCGCTATGACAATCAAAATTCAAATTTCGGTTAAAGCAGTATTGGGAACAATTCTCAAAGATCCAACTATAACCAAGGTCAAAGGTTTCAAAACTTTGCCCAAAAAAACAAACCTCCGGGTTTTGAGCAATTGAGACCTCCTCCCCAAGTTTCTCATACCCAACCTCTTCAATTGGAAGCACCCCCAACCCTTTGATGCCAATGCTCTAAACTTTTATGAAAAATCAAGAAACTTTTAGTAAGAGCCAAGAAACTTTTATCAATAGTCAAGAGAATTTTAGTAAAAGTCAAGAAGAGGAGAAGAAACAAATGAAGGCCCACATGAAAATGATGGAAAATCAAATCTCTCAACTTGCTCAATCAAATAATTCTTATTCTTCCTCATTTCCTAGCCAAGGTCTGAATCCCAAGTTAATGTGTGCCATCACCACTAGGAGTTGGAAAGTTCTTAAGATTGAACTAAAAATTGGGAAGAAATCGAAGGAGGGAGTTGAGCTTAAGGATGAAAGTGAGGAAACTAATGAGTCTTTGGGAAATGACAAAGAGTGATGTTGTTGAGAAACCAAAGGAGAAAGAGCCTATAAAAGAAGCTACCCCTTTGCTCCTAAATCACCAACCTAGAGAGGAGAAGCTACCCTTTCCACAACGCTTTGTGAGGTCTAAGCTAGATGCACAATTTGAGAGATTTTGGAGGTTATTAAAGGTCTACATGTCCAATTGCCTTTTGTTCAAGCCATGAAGAGATGCCTCACTATTCTAAATTTTTGAAGGACCTTTTTAATGGAAGGAGAGAAGTGGAGACTGTAAACCTCACCGCTAATTGTAGTGCTATTCTTTCTAGCAAGCTCCCTACAAAGTTGAAAGACCCCGGTAGTTTCTTTATCCCATGTTCTATCAATGATGTTCATCTTGGGAAAGCCTTGTGTGACTTGGTTGCAAGTGTGAGCCTTATGCCTATTTCTGTTTACAAAAAACTAGGTGTACTTAACCTTTCTCCTACAAACATCACCCTCCAACTTGCCGATCGTTCTATCAAGTTACCCATAGGGAAAGTGGAATACATCCCTCTTAGAGTTGGCAAGTTTACCTTTCCCGTTGATGAGAGAATCCCCATCATTTTGGGTAGACCTTTTCTTGCTACTTTTAGGGCTATCATCAATGTGAAAGATGGTAAGATGACTTTGAAGGTTGATAATGAGTCCATTGAGTTTGATTTGAATAGTTTCATGAACCAACCTTCCTCATCTAATTAATGTTATAGAGTTGATGTGCTTGATTCTATGATGGAGGAATTTCTCTATTCTCATTTGCATGCTACTAATGATCCTCTTGAAAGTGTTTTTTTGAATGATCAAAAGATAGGTGCTCACAAGGAGGAGATGCAACTCTATGAAGATTTGCTTGAAGAAAGCAAAGTATAATGCAAGAAAGCAAGCAAGGAGGAAGAGACTCCTTTCACTCATGACCTTTTTCAAGTGGAGGAGAAGGAAGAAGACTCCAATGGTAAGGGTGTAACACCCCAATAATTCTCTCTTCAAAACCTGTATTAACCTGTATTAACCTGTAGTAACCTGTAAATACTTTTAATAATCTGTGAGAGAATTACTGGTGTGCTACAGCCACGTGTTAAAACGTTAAAGCTAGTTTCAGAAATCAGCAGCGGAAAACTAACTTAGTTTTAAAAAGAATATAAGTTTCAAAACCAAAAAGTCAAGACTCAATTTAGTCTTACAAGTTGGAACCATAATGGCCCTTATTCAAAACCCAGTAAAATAGGAAGCGAATAGATTTAGAGTCAAAATAACATTAATTTATGAAATGAAATAAGCTAAATGATTAACCAATGCTCCACTCAAATCCCATCACCCTGATGCAAGTTCAGTTTATGCAGAAACCTGTGATTAGTCTGCTCCCCAATATTACAAGTGTAAAAATTGGATCATTACAGGGTCATTGAAAGGCGAAGGCCATGACCAAGAAAAGACACACAAAGCACGCAATCAGCAACGCTGAATACATACAAGCTACGAAATATAGCAAAGAATTCCTAGCATAGTACTAATAAGCATTCAATACACACAATATAATCATTGACTCGAACACATGACTCAATTGTCGATCATTACTAAGTTTTCATTAAATAGCATTGATCATTTCATTAATTTAATTGGATTACGCAATAGACCAGGTTGTCCCAGCAGCAAAGCAATAGACTTGCGTGGGAATTCACGCATGAAGTCCCAGCAGCAAAGCAAAACAAGGAAAAAGAATAAGAAAAAGGAAGGAAAGAAAAGAAAAGAAAGAAAAAGAAGAAAAGAAAAATGAAAGAAAAATAAGGAAAAAGAAGGAAAATAATACTTACCCCAAAATCTAATTTTAAGTTCTTTGTGTGGGAAATTTTGGAGGTTTAGGGGGATATTTATAGAGTAGAGAATAAAGATTAGGGTTGGGCTTAATAAATAAGTAGGCTTTAGTTATGAAATATTTGACCCACAAGGGTTCAAATAAAAGAATTGGGCTTACTTAAATGAAATGGGTTTGTCCACAAGGAGTATGTAAGGATTGTTTACATACTATTATTTAAACGAGCCTAAAAGATTAATAAACGTTTAGCCCAAAATAAATTATACTTTTATAAAACTCAATGATTTAAATACTTTAGCCCTTTAAATATTTAATTAAAATACTTGAGTATTTTAAAAATATATTTTAGAATTAATTAAATAATTTATAAAATACATAAAAAAAATACGGGGTATTACAAAGGGAGCGTCGAAGGTATCTTGAAACCTCTACTTTCGGGCTTGAGGTATGCATTTCTTGATGATAAAGAGTCTTTTCCCGTCATCATCATATTTTAGTCTAACAGAAGAGCAAACCTCCCTCTTGATTAATGTTTTGAAGAAACACAAAAAGGCTTTGGGTTATACCACTAATGACCACAAGGGTATAAGTATGCATGCATAAGATTGATCTTGAGGGAGATGCAAACCCGGTTAGGCAATGGCAACGAAAGCTCAACCCTTCCATGCAAAAGATTGTACGGGAGGAGGTTTCTAAACTTTTTGATGCGGAGATTATCTATCCAATCGCCCATAGCGATTGGGTGTATTCTATGAAAGTTGTGCCAAAGAAGGGTGGCATGACGGTTGTGAAAAATGATTGAGACCAATTAATTCCTACTAGAATTGTTACCGGTTGGCGAATGTGCACTGACTATCGCCAACTCAATTTAAGTACTTGCAAAGATTATTTTCCATTGTCGTTCATTGACCAAATTCTTGAAAGGCTTACAAAACATTCCTTCTATATCTTCCTTAATGGATATTCGGGTTTCTTCCAAATCCCGATTAACCCCAGGAATCAAAAGAAGGCTACTTTTACATATCCCTACGGTACTTTTGCGTATCGTAGGATGCCATTTGGTCTTTGTAATGCCCCCTCCACATTTCAACGATGCGTGATGTCCATCTTTTCTGACATGATTGAAGAGGAGATGGAAGTTTTCATGGATGATTTTTCCGTAAAAGGAATCATCTTTGAAGCTTGCCTCTCTAACTTGTCTCGTTGCCTTAAACATTGTGAGGAAGCCAACTTAGTGTTTAATTGGGAGAAATTCCATTTTATGGTGGAAAGTGGAATTGTTCTTGGGCATAGAATCTCCAACTAAGGCATTGAGGTGGATAAGGCTAAGGTGGATGTAATTGAGAAACTTCCTCCTCCTACTAATGTGAAGTAAGTAAAAGATTTTCTTGGTCATGCCGGGTGTTATCGCCGATTTATCAAGAACTTCTCATCAATTTCCAAGCCCCTCACCACTTTATTGCAACAAGACAAAGAGTTTGTTTTTTATGAGGCTTGTTTGAGTGCTTTTTGTAGGTTAAAGGAAGCTTTGTGCTCTGCTCCTATTGTCTAAGGCCCCGATTGGTCCTTGCCTTTTGAATATATGTGTGATACGAGTGATGAGGCAATTGGTTCGGTCTTGGGACAAAGAAAAGATGGGAAGCTCCATGTGATTCACTACTTGTCAAAGACTCTCAATGAGGCACAAAAGAATTACACCACAACCGAGAAAGAGTTCTTAGCGGTTGTGCATTCCTTTGAGAAATTTTGGCCTTAAGTCATTGGGTCCAAAACAATTGTGTGGACAGATCATTCGGCCCTCAAGTATCTCATGAGAAAAAAGGAGGCAAAGCCTTGGTTGTTCAGGTGGGTGCTATTACTCCAAGATTTTGATTTTGAGTTTAGAGATGAAATGGGAGCCGAAAATGTTGTGGCTGACCATCTTTCAACACTAGGAGTTAATATAGTGTAGTAAGATGACCTACCTATTGAAGATTCTTTGAAGGATGATGTTCTTTATTTCCTAACGGTGCAAGAGGCACCTTCGTATGCCAATATTGTGAACTACCTTGCGTGTAGTGAGATCCCCCTATCATTCACTCCTCAAAACAAAGAAGACTTAAGCATGAGGCTAAGAAGTACATTTAGGATAATCCTACTTTTTTTAAGAGAGGAGTTGATTGGATTTTAAGAAGATGTGTCTCAAATGATTAATTTCAAAGTGTTCTCTGCATGTGCCATTCCTCTCCTTGTGGTGGTCACATGAGTGCCCAAAAGACCGCCACAAAGGTCTTACAATACATGCTCTTTTGGCCCTCTTTATTCAAAGATGCTTGGTATTTTGTCAAGACTTGTGATAGGTTCCAAAGGACGGGGGGGAACATCTCGAGAAAGAATGAAATACCACAAAATCCCATCCTTGAGCTAGAAGTGTTTGATGTTAGGGCAATTAATTTCATGGGCCCTTTCATCTCTTCTCATGGGAACAAGTATATCTTGGTGGCCATTGATTATGTTTCTAAATGGGCGGAAGCCGTGGCCTCTCCTACCAATGATTCCAAGGTAGTGGTCAGTTTGTTCAAGAAAGTGATCTTCCCGAGATTCGGTGTTCCCAAAGCCATCATTAGTTACGGTGGGTCTCATTTCAAACACCACACCTTTAATAAGCTCCTTGAGAAATATGGTGTATCTCATAAGCTAGGCTTGCTTACCACCCCCAAACTAGCTAGTGGTCAAGCGAAGGTGAGTTATAGGGAACTCAAGGTCAATATGGAGAAGACGGTGGCTAGAACAAGGAAAGATTGGTCCACCAAGCTCATTAATTCATTCTGGGCTTATAGGACCTCTTTCAAGACTCCAATAGGGACCACACCCCATAAGCTTGTGTAAGGTAAGAATTGCCACTTACCCGTGAAATGGAGCATAGAACTCATTGGGAAATCAAGAAAAATAATTTTGATCTCCATAGTGCGGGTGAGCAAAGGCTTTTGGAGTTCTATGAGTTGGAATAGTTGATGTTAAATGCTTATGATAGTGCAAGCATGTACAAGGCTAGAACGAAGGCTTAGCATGATGCTCAAATCATCAAAAAGGACTTCGAAGAAGGAAAAAAATTCCTCCTCTACAACTCTCGTTTGAAGCTCTTTACGGGCAAGCTTAGGTCAAGATGAAGTGGGCCATTCGTAGTCACCAAAGTGTTCCCTCATGGTGCTATTGAGATATCCAATGAGAAATACCCTCCGTTCAAAGTGAATGGACCGTGTCAAGCATTACTTTGAAGGTCAAAGATTAGAAGAACCAAGAAATCTTCATCTTGTTGATGTATACAAGCCTCCTTGAGTTCACTTAAGGAACGTCGAACTAACAACGTTAAACAAAAGCGCTCACGGGAGGCAACCCGAATTCTCACCCTTTTATTTCTTCTTTTCCTTTCTTATCTTTTCCCTATTTTCCTTTTCTTTACTTCTTTCTTAGCATTTTAAGCTCATGTTGAGGTTTATAGATGAAGTAAAGCTAGAGGAGTTGAATAACAAAAATGGCAAGGCTTTTGGAGCGCACCTCACCACGGCTAACACGCGGGCGCGCAGACTTTAGAGTCCGATTTTCGCAATTTTGGGCAGGAACTCACCACGCCCTGTCCGCGCTCTAGGAGCGGGCGCGATGTGAACTGGAGCGAGCGCCTCTCACCTGGAGCGGACACCTGATTCATCCATTTTTGATAAATTTTGAGCACGAACTAAGAGCGCCTACGGAGTGCCAGCAAAGCGCCTTAGCTGCGGGCACGGTATTGTCAGGCGCGGGCGCGGCAGTCTGGGTAGCCGATTTAAATCAGGGCTTCTCCTTTTCTTCTCCTTAATTAACCTAATTCACTTCTCTTTCTCTCTCTTCATCCTCTCAAACCTTAACCTCC